TTCACAAGTTCTGAGGTAATGTGCTCAGATGTATATGTTATATAAAATGTGAATAAATAGGCACATCACATATATTAAAATTTTTGGTTTATATGTTTAAGTTTACTGCATACAAAAAGTTATTAGTATTTTTCTCAACTTTTCTCAAACCTTGTCTACATGATCATATAAATTTATTTCTAATTGTTCATTTTATTTTATACCATATTACACTGTATTTATGTTTATATTATTTAGTGATGTAATGCTTTCCTTTGCTTCCAAAGGTTGGCTTATTGCCTTTACATTTTGTGCAAAAATAGCAGTTGTATGTTAATGACATAATATGTCTAGTATTATTTAAATGTTCATTTCTTACTTTTTCATCAAAGCTTTTAATAAATGATTATAATGCATTTTCTATAAAATGTTACTGCTTTCACTGTATACTAGTGATTCAAACTTTATTGTCTTCAGTAGCAATGACATGAAATCAACCTAGTTGCCCATCAGTGGTGGACTGGATAAAGAATATGTGGTATCTATACACTACGAAATACTACATAGCCCCCTCAAATTTTGTTATTTGTAGCAACATTGATGCAACTGAAACCATTTTTTTAAGTAAATTAATGCAAAAACAGTCAAATACTGCATGTTCTTACTTAAAAGGGAGAGCTAAATATTGGGTATACATGCATATAAAGATGAAAACAACAGATGTTGGGGACTACTAGAGGAGGAAGGGAGGGAAGAGACAGGCCAGAAAAGCCACCTCTTGGGTACCACGCTATCTACCTGAGTAGTAGGGCCCAAACCTTAGCAGTACGTAACACACCCACGTAACAACCCGAGACATGTAGCCACTAAATCTATAGGAAAAGGTGAAATTAAACAAAGATGCCAAAATATGTTCTCTTTATAAATGTGCAGTCTGTTAAAATGCATGGCTATCTAGAATAATTACTTTTTAGTGTATATTATGTTGATTCAATATTTTTGGTTAATTTTTTTTTTGTTAAATTTTGTTCCACCATTTTAAATTTCACTGGCTCGTGTTTTAGAGTAGGCTATTTCACATCGTGTTTTTAGTTTTTATGTATTGTAATTTTGTATACCAATATTCAACTCTGTGCATTAAAACAATATTTGGACAGAAGTCAGATATGAATCAGCCTTATACATATTGCCAATATAATTATTCCTGTTTGCTCATGTAAATTTTTTTTTTTTTTTTTTGAGACGGAGTTTCGCTCTTGTTACCCAGGCTGGAGTGCAGTGGCGCGATCTCGGCTTACCGCAACCTCTGCCTCCTGGGTTCAGGCAATTCTCCTGCCTCAGCCTCCTGAGCAGCTGGGATTACAGGCACGCACCACCATGCCCAGCTAATTTTTTGTATTTTTAGTAGAGACGGGGTTTCACCATGTTGACCAGGTTGGTCTCGATCTCGACCTCGTGATCCACCCGCCTCGGCCTCCCAAAGTGCTGGGATTACAGGCTTGAGCCACCGCGCCCGGCCTTGCTCATGTAAATATTACCCCTATTTTATGACATGTATATTTGCTATTTTTTGGCTTGTTTTAGTAGTCAATGAATGTTTTATTCTCAATTTTAAAAATTACAAGGGCCAGACACGGTGGCTCACACCTGTAATCCCTGCACTTTGGAGGGTGAGACAGGTGGATCACCTAGGGTCAGAAGTTTCAGACCAGCCTGATCAGCATGGCAAAAGCCTGTCTCTAGTAAAAATACACAATTAGCTGGGTGTGGTAGTGCACACCTCTAATCCCAGCTACTCCCAGAGGCTGAGGCAGGAGAATTGTTTGAACTCGAAAGGTGGAAGTTGCAGTGAACCAAGATTGCACCACTGCACTCCAGCCTGGGCAACAAGAGCAAAACTCCATCTGGAAAAAAAAAAAGCATAGCAAAATTTGTAATCTTTAGTATTTTCAATTATATAGTTCAGCCTTGTTAAATATATTGACATTGTTAGCAACTTATCTTTAGAACATTCTTATTTTTGTAAAAGAAATATGCTATACAAATGAATCCACTACTCATTTTTCCCATTGTCTGATCCGTTACACACATCATTCTATTTTTAAGGATGTAACTACATTAGCTATTCTGTGTAAGTAGATTCATACAGTATTTTTTTGTGTGTGACTGGCATATTAAATTTAGCATGATATGTTCAAAATTTTTCTTTATTAGATTTCCTGCTTTTTAAAAGGTGATTAATATTCCATTTTTTTGGTATTTTAAATTATATTTATCCATTCATTTGGTAAGGAAAGTTTAAATTGCTTTTGGCTTTTGTGGATAATGCTGCAATATGGTGTGCAAATAACTCACTTGACCATATATTAAAGAGTTTATATCTGTACTGCATTCTGTTTTATTAATTTGATGTTCTACCTTTTTACCAGTACCAAAGTGCTTTGATTGGTGTAGGTTTGTTTTGTGTTTTATTAAGTGTAATCCTTTCAATATTTTTCTTCTTAAAGATTGTCAAGATTATCAGGCTTTTCATGGTCCTTTGAGATCTTAAGCAATTTTGTTGGATTTTTTTCTATTTTTGGAAATGGAAAATTTAAAATTGAAAAGGGTTGTGTTGAATGTGCGGGTCACTTTAAGCAGCATGGATGCCTTCACAATAATATGGTCTTCCAACCCTTGAAAAAGAGCATGCTGAAAAGTATGTTGTTTAATTTTTATATTTTTTGAATTTTTCTGCTTGTCTTCTGTTACTGATTTCTAGTTTTATTCTATTTAGGCCATAATTGTTTGTAAAATTTTAATTAAAACAAATTGCTAAGACTTGTTTTGTGGTGTCACAGGTAGTCCGTCTAGGAAAATGTTTGATGACCTGTTGGAAAGAAAGTGTATTCCACTGTCTGTATACATTTGTTAGGTATAATTATAGGGCATTCAAGTTTTTTGTTTCCATATTGATTTTCTGTCTCGCTTTATTATTACTGAAAGTGGGATATTGATGTATCCTTCCATTATTATATTGCTGTCTATTTCTGCTTCAATTCTGTCAATGTTTGCTTTATGTGTTTGGGAAAACTAATGTTGGACATATTTATAGGTTCTCAGTGAATGAACCCTCTTACTATAATTGAATGTCTTACTTGTGTCTTGTGAAGTTTGACTTAAAGTAAATTATATGAAATATGACAGCTTTTGACTTAATAAGCCTCTTCTCACTTGGTTAACACTTGCATGTATATTTTTCATCCTGCCATTTTCAGTCAGTTTTTTTTAGATCTGAAGTGAGTCTCTTGAAGATATAACATAGTTAGATCTTGATATAGATCATGATATATGGTTTTATTTTCATTTTGAAGGATACTTTTACTGGATATAGTATTCTTGCTTAGACATTTTTTTAGTGTTTTAACTGCCATCCTCCTCCCTTCTTGCCTGAAAGATTTATGTTTATAAATTTACTGGTAATCTTGTAGAAACATGCATATAAATAACATCATCTCCTTTTTCTTCCTGCATTTCAGATTCTCTTCTTGTCTGTGACTTTCAAAACATCGTTTATGTTGTGTGTTGTTAGAAATCTCTTTGTGTTAATCTTAGTTGAAATTTGCCGAGCTTCTTGATTTTCTTATAGGTTTTACTAATGTTGAAGTGCATGTTAGTCTTGTTTGGTACTTCTCCACAATTTGTGTGTGTGTGTGTGTGTGTGTGTGTGTGTGTGTGTGTGTGCGTTTTATCTTTTTATTGATGGTTTCATTTTTGTTATTTCATTTTGTTTTATTTCCATTTTACTTATTGAGCATGATTGAGATGGTAATTTTGATTTTTTAGGATTTAAAAGAGTAGATCTAGACTTTAATTCAGATTGTCTTAAGTAATTTTTACATCTCTTTTTAAAAAATAATTTCTATATATTCCTTTTTATCTTTGAACCATATTATCTTGATGTTTTGTATATGTTGTAATCTTAAGTTGCAATTTGTAGAATAAAAAACCACATGTCAAAATTTTTAAGTGGCTCTTCTATGGGGGAATATGATATCGATTTTTTAGGCTAGAGATTCTTGGAGTTTTTCAAGCTTGTTCTATGGATGTTTTTTCTGGGCTTATGTGTTTTTTAGTTAAAAAAGATTCCCCATTTTTAAAAATTCTTTTTTCTTTTCATTTTTTTCCTCTGATTCGGAGTTTCGCTCTTGTTGCCCAGACTGGAGTGCAATGGCACGTTCTTGGCTCAGCACAACCTCCACCTCCCAGGTTCAAGCAATTCTTCTGCCTCAGCCTCCAGAGTAGCTGGGATTACAGGTGCCTGGCACCATACCTGGCTAATTTTTGTATTTTTATTAGAAATGAGATTTTACCATGTTGATCTGGCTGGTCTTAAATTCTGATCTCAGGTGACCTGCCTGCCTCAGCCTCCCAAAGTACTGGGATTACAGGCATGAACCACCACTCCTGACCATTCCCCATGTTTCTTATTGAGATACTGTAGTCACTTGTTGTACCCATTATCTGTGTATGATACTAAAGTGTTTCTTCTCTTGTAATGGTCATTTACCTTTGGTCTCAACTGTCCAAAACTGTCAAAGTATACCACTTTTCCTTTCAACACTGTAATGGAATATAGTAATTAGTCTTTGGTAAGATCTCAAAAAGTCAGAAACATGGATACATGTGGCACTATTTTATTTTTGGAGGGGGATTACAGGAGTTGGGAGTCTATTTAAAGTCATCATGGGATGAAGAATGGCTGTGGTGGGTAAATATGAAATATTTTTATTACACTTTTACATGGTTCTTGGCATTTTGCTCATTTGGGGTGCTGTAAATGCTTAACTGGTTCTTAGACTTCTCACAAAGGTATTTTGGTCAATATATTTCTGTTAAGTTTATATGTTTATAAAGGAATTAGAACCTGTGGTATTGTATTGTGTCACCTATGAATGTGTTTTGTGTAATTTTATATTTGTAAAGGGTATGTGCCTGAGTCTAATGAGGGAGAATTTGTTGCTTTTTTTTTTTCCCCCCAGCTGGCTCTTTTCATTTTACTGCAGAGATATTGCCGGAGCACAACATAAAAGATTCATTTCAAAAAGTGATTCTGAGAAAATATAGAAGCTGTGACCTTAATAATTTACATTTAAAGGAAGACTACCAAAGTGTGGGTAATTGCAAGGGACAGAAAAGTAGTTATATTGGCCTTCATCAATGTTTGCCAACTACCCATAGGAAAACCTGTCAATATAATAAATGTGGCAAAGCTTTTGAGTTGTGCTCAATCTTCACTGAACGTAAGAAAATTTTTAGCAGAGAGAAATACTACAAATGTGAAGAATGTGGCAAAGCCTTTAAAAAATGTTCAAATCTTACTGAACATAAGAGAGTTCATACTGGAGAGAAACCCTACAAATGCGAGGAATGTGGCAAAACGTTTACCTGCTCCTCAACCCTTATTAAACACAAGAGAAATCATACTGGAGACAGACCCTACAAATGTGAAGATTGTGGCAAAGGCTTTAAGTGCTTCTCAGACCTTACTAATCATAAGAGAATTCATACTGGAGAGAAACCCTACAAATGTGAAGAATGTAACAAATCCTATAGGTGGTTCTCAGACCTTGCTAAACATAAGATTATTCATACTGGAGAGAAACCCTACAAATGTAATGAATGTGGAAAATCTTTTAAGTGGTTTGCGGCCCTGAGTAAACATAAGAGAATTCATACCGGAGAGAAACCCTACATCTGTGAAGAATGTGGCAAAGCCTTTACCCGCTCCTCAACGCTTATTAACCACAAGAGAATTCATATGGAAGAGAGACCTTACAAATGTGAAGAATGTGGCAAAACTTTTAAGTGCTTCTCAGACCTTACTAATCATAAGAGAATTCACACTGGAGAGAAACCCTACAAATGTGAAGAATGTGGCAAGGCATCGAGCTGGTTCTCACACCTCATTAGACATAAAAGAATTCATACTAGAGAGAAGCTCCACAAGTGTTAAAAACGTGGAAAAGCCTTTAACAAGTCATTATATTGTGTTCAACATCAGAGATTTAATAATGAATGCAGTATAAATGTAAAGTCTGTTGAAGAACGGTTAACATCTTGGAGGATCTCTTTAAGAACTTCATAATGTGAGTGCTTTTGTGTTGGGTGCGTATGTAGCCCTTTACTATTATGCAATGCCCTTGTCTTTTTTTTTTTCTTTTTCTAATTTATGTTGATTTAAAGTCTGTGTTTTCAGAAACTAGAATTGTGACCCCTCCTTTTTTTCTGTTTTCTATTTGCTTGGCAGATTTTTCTTTTTCCTTTTATTTTGAGCTTATTTAAGATGAGTGTCTCAATTACAGCATACCAGTAGATCTTGATTCTTTTATTTTTTTTATTTTTAAAAAAATTTTTTTTATATAAAGACGGGGTTTCACCATGTTGGTCAGGCTGGTCTTGAACTCCCAACCTCAGGTGATCCGCCCGCCTTGGCCTCCAAAGTGCTTGGATTACAGGTGTGAGCCACCACGCCCGGCCGATCTTGATTCTTTTTTTTTTTTTCTTCTTCTTTTTTGAGACGGAGTTTTGCTCTTGCTACCCAGGCTGGAGTGCAATGGCGCGATCTCGGCTCACCGCAACCTCCGCCTCCTGGGCTCAGGCAATTCTCCTGCCTCAGCCTCCTGAGTAGCTCGGATTACAGGCACGCGCCACCACGCCCAGCTAATTTTTGTACTTTTAGTAGAGACGGGGTTTCACCATGTTGACCAGGATGGTCTCGATCTCTTGACCTCGTGATCCACCCGCCTCGGCCTCCCAAAGTGCTGGGATTACAAGCTTGAGCCACCGGATCTTGCTTCTTTATTCAGCTTGCTACTTTGTTATTTAATTGGGGCATTTAGTCCATTTACATTTAAGGTTAGTATTCATGCGTGTGGATTTGATTCTGTCATCATGATTTTACCTGGCTATTTTACACATTTGTGTATGTGGTTGCCTTATACTGTCAGCGGTTTGTGTACTTTAGTGTGTTTTTGTGGTGACTGGTAATAGTCTTTTTCTCATTTAGTGCTTTCTTCAGAAGCTCTTGTAAAGCAGGTCTTGTGGTAACAGATTTCCTCAGCATTTGCTTATCTGAATAGAATCATATTTATTTTTTACTCGTGACGCTTACTTTGGCTGGATGTGAAATTCTGGGTTGGAAGTGATTTCAGCTGAATGGTTTGTTGTTGGATGGGCTTTTTTTTTTTTTTTTTTTTTTTTTTAAGACGTGACCTGGTCTCTCTAGCTGCCTTTAACATTTTTTTTTCTTTCATTTTGATCTTGGAGAGTCTCATGATTATGTGTCTTGAGGATGACCTTCTCGTGGGTTAGGGTTAGGGGTTCTCCACATTTCCTGCTTTTGAATGTTGGCTTCCTTATCTAGGTTGGGAAAGTTCTCATTGATGATATCCTGAAATACGTATTTCAAGTTGTTTTTATTCTCCCCATTGTTTTCAGGCACTATCTTTTTTTTTTTTTTTTTTTTGAGACGGAGTTTCGCTCTTGTTACCCAGGCTGGAGTGCAATGGCGCGATCTCGGCTCACCGCAACCTCCGCCTCCTGGGTTCAGGCAACTCTCCTGCCTCAGCCTCCTGAGTAGCTGGGATTACAGGCACGTGCCACCATGCCCAGCTAATTTTTCTTTTGTATTTTTAGTAGAAACGGGGTTTCACCATGTTGACCAGGACGGTCTCGATCTCTCAACCTCGTGATCCACCCGCCTCAGCCTCCCAAAGTGCTGGGATGACAGGCTTGAGCCACAGCGCCCGGCCTGGCACTCTCTTTAATCACAGATTTGGTTTCTTTATATCATCCCATATTTTTTAGAGGTTTTATTCATTCCTCTTTTTTTTTTCACTATTGTTGTCTGTCTTAGAAAGTAAGTTTTCAAGCTCTGAGACTCTGTCCTCTGCCTGGCCTATTCTGCTGTTAATACTTGTGATTACATTATAAAGTTTTTGTATTGTGTTTTTCAGCTCTGTCAGGTTGGTCACATTTTACTCCAGACTGGCTGTTTTTTTTTTTTTCTGTTCGTTTCTATCATTTTTTTCTCCCTTCCTTGCATTGGGTTGCAACTTTTGTGGCTCATTGAAGTTTGTTTCTATTCATATTCTGAATTCTAATTCTGTCATCTTAGGCCCTGCTGGAAACGTAATTTGGTCATTTGGATGAAAGAAATAATTCTGGCTTTTTGTGTTTTCAACATTTTTGGACTGATTTTGTCTTTGCAGAAATATCTTTGAGGTTGCTGACCTTTGGGGTTTGGGGTTTTTAAAATCCTATTTTATTGTCTTGGGTATTTGTGGTATAAGGTGAATTCAGCTGACAGGCTTTGTTCTTAGTTTTTTTTGTGTGTGTGGTGGTGGTGGTGGTGGTGTTTTGGGGGGACCAGTGCTCAGCTCACAACTCAGAGGTGGTATACTTTATTTTTGGGGGACATATATTGAGCCCCAACTGTGTTCTCTGGCTCCTTGAGATTTGGAGTCTGCCACTCTGTGGGACTAAGGTACCACAGCTGCAGCAGAGTGCTAGTGGATATGGGGTTTCTGCCTGTCTTTGGGCATTCACCTCAGTGGCAGACGCAAAGCAGCTGGGAGCGGTGTGGTGGGGTACCTGCTGGAGATTGTGTGCTGTTGAACTAAAGGTGCTGGGGGCAGGTTGCTGGCCAGCGAAGGTTTTTTTTTTGAGACAGAGTTTCGCTGTTGTTACTCAGGCTGGAGTGCAATGGCGCGATCTCGGCTCACCGCAATCTCCGCCTTCTGGGTTCAGGCAATTCTCCTGCCTCAGCCTCCTGAGTAGCTGGGATTACAGGCATGTGCCACCATGCCCAGCTAATTTTTTGTATTTTTAGTAGAGATGGGGTTTCACCATGTTGACCAGGATGGTTTCGATCTCTTGACCTCGTGATCCACCCACCTCGGCCTCCCAAAGTGCTGGGATTACAGTCGTGAGCCACTGCGCCTGGCCAGTGAAGGTTATGATACCTTCTCTGTGCCCCCCAAGAAGGAGTGATTGTTCAGTGTGTGGGAAGATACCCTGTTCTCCCCACAGTGTTAGCACAAAGGCAGGGCTGGGACTTTCTCTCTGCTCACCAAAGCTTCCAACTATAATGGCAGTTGCTTTGGATGGCAGGGGCATACTGTGTTCCCATTTGCTGGTGGAGCAAGCAAAGCCAAACCCTCCTTTGCAAACATGTGCCAGCAAAGTAATATGAGGAGGTGCCATGGTCTTGGAGAAAGCTGCAGTATGGGGAAGAAACACGTGGGCTGGTGCATTCATAGGGGCTGCCTTGCTGGAGCTCTTCATAGGTCAGGCGTGGCCCATCAGTGAAGATGCTGTGGTATGGGCTCCCAAGGTACCTGAGACTGCCCTGTAAGCATCTGTGGCCACACTGGGTCCCTGGAAGAGGCCAGCAGACCAAGGAGTGCTCAGTTGGACCAGCTTCTTCTGATTTGCAAAACCATCCTACAGAAATTAGGTCCAACAGTTCCCCTAGGGCTAAAGTCTCTTATGGGACAAAGTTGAACCTAGAGAAATGGCCATCACTGGTCACAGTTTATTACAAATGCTCTTGCACCAAACCCTGTGGGCAGCATATGAGCTGGTTGCTGCCCCACCTCTTTGCTTGTCGTCTGGGGGCCGCATCTTAGAGAGAAGTAGGTCAGCAATCAGTGCAGTCAGCCCAGGATTGAGGAACTGTGCTTTGGGCCAAGTTAGGGGTTCACTGTCTGGTAATGAGTAGTGGGTAATTTGTGGGATCCATGGAGGATGGACGAGCCTCCTCTCCTTGGGTAAAGTTGCTTGAGGTATGAATAAGGCACTTAGTGTTTTGGATTTTTTATTAGTCTGATGGTACCAAGGACAGTTCTGTAGAGGCAGTGGCAGAAGTATTTTCAGTTTTCCCTGGAGGCTCTGTCCACGGAGCCACTAAGTTGCTTCTGGCTCAGTAGCTCTGGCAATGATTGGCTACTGGCCTAGGCCTGGAGAACCTGCTCAGTGAGAATATGAGAACAGACACACATGTAAGTCTGGCCACTTTTCTGAAGGGCTGCTGCAGTATGCTGTTCTCCACTGCAGTTTCTAGTCACCTCAGATTTTCCAGTGCCTGAGGTCATCACCAGTGAATGCTGCAAAACAGCAACAATGGCAGCCTTCCCTTTTCTCTGGGAGCTCTATCCTGGAGAGGCATAGACCTGTTTCCAGTCCCAACACACCTGTAGGAGGTAGCTGGAAACCCCTGTTGAAAGGTCTTACCCAGTGAGGAGAACATAACTGGGGACCCACTTAAGAAAGCAGTCTAGCCACATCTTGAAAGGGCAACGCTGCTGTAAAGAGGTACCACTTCCACCTTCAGTTTATTTGGACGCTCTAAAGCCAGAAGGTTGGAACAGCTAAGTCAAACAAACAGCAGAAATGGCAGCGTGCTCTTCCCTCTAGGAACTATATCCCAAAGGGGTTTCAAAACTTTTATAAACGAAAGAGCACTGGTGGTGGGAGCTAGAGACCCTGGTTGGGAAGTACTTTCCAGTGAGGAGGAACAGGACTGGGGACTTGCTTTAACAGACAGCGTGGTCATGTCTTTTTAGAGCACCTGTACTGTGCTGGGAGATCCCTTTCTGCCCCCAGCTTGGGCTCTTTAAAGCCTGAAGGCTGGAATGGCTAAGTTGCCCAAGCAGCAAAGATGGGTGGCCCACTTCTTTTTTTGGTAGCTCCATTTCAGGGAGGTGCAGTGCTGCTACCAATGGTTGACCGGAATTGTAAGCCAGTAGTTCACTGTGGAAGTGAGTCCTGCAGACCGTCACTGCTCAGACCCCTGGATCCCACCTCTTTCCTATGGATATGTACAGGGGTGTAACCTGCTTTGCTGGAGTTGCAGCTACTTTTTCTGGGAAGCCAGAGTATCTAAGGCTCTTGAATCTCTGCACAGGCCTGAGCAGCATCTTTACTGAGACTCCATGAAGCTGTGTGTGTTAAACTGAAGGCCTTGGTGAAGTGGGTTCATGAGGGTTGCAAAGATCTGTGGGAGAGTTATGGGTTCCCAGGGTCACACATGCACTCACTGCTTCACTGGGTGGGGAGGTTCCACTGGCTCCATGTTCCTGGGTGGCCCATTTTTCTGCCTTGCTTTACTCCATTCTCCGTAAGTTAAGTTGTTTCTTTGATTAGTCCAAATGCAAGTACCTGTATGTTTTAGTTGAAGGTGCTGTATTTATGCATACCTTGCATTCCTCTCTATGAGAACTACATAGTCTAGCTGCTTCTAGTCAGCAATTTCGATCACTTTCTTGTAAAAGGAACCTACTTTTTTATATTAAAATAATTTAATACATTTTC